CACTGGCCATGGCCCGATACAACCAAGAGACACTGTCAACAGGGGACGTGGGAGGCCATGGCCACGTAGCATGGTGGTGATCACACAGTCAACTTTGAATAAGCACAAGGAGTATGCTCTAGCATAGTGCTAAGAGGGGCCGGTGTGGCGCATCGGGCAAAGCCGCCGCTTGCGACGCCAGCATCCCATATGGGTGTCGGTTCAAATACCAGCTGCTCCACCTCTGATCCAGCTCCATGCTGATGCCCCCGGGAAAGCAGAGAAAGATGGCTCAAGGCTTGGGCCCCTGCACCCACGTGGGAGACCGAATGAAGCTTCTGGCTCCCGGCTTCAGCCTGGCCCAGTCTTGTCCGTTGCAGCCATTTGGGGAGTGAACTAACAGATGGAAGGTCTCCCTCTCTCCCTCTCTCTGTAGCTCTGCCTTCCAAATAAATAAATAAATCTTAAAAAAAAAAATCAGCCCCAAGGAATGAGCAGGTGACACCTGGGGCTGGACCCAGGGAGAGAGGGCAGGGCAGAGGCGGGAGGGGTAGCCGGGGCGTCCAGGGTGGGAGATCCTGGGTGTGTGGAGAGTGGGGAAGAGAAGCAGGGGGCACCTGGAGTGGGGTCAGCCGGGGTCTGGGGGTTCAGGGCCCGCCTCTGCCGCCCTCGGCAACAGCAGCCACGCAAGGAGCTCACCTGTGTCGTTGGCGGTGAACGTCGTTAGAACGAAAACGGAGCCGCCAGTGTCAGCCCTAACAAGAAACAAGCCGAACCCAGCTGTGGGGAGGAAGGGGTCGTGAGAGCAGTCACCGGAGACGCTGGCAGGCCCCGCCTCCAAACGGGGACACCCCCACCGGTGTCGGCCCAGCTGAATTCACAGTCGTCCACACCACACTTGTCCCCGTGCACATGTTGTCTGTGGGGACCCTCTTGCTAGCTAGCATGCAGGCACCACACACACACACACACACACGCGCGCACACACACACACGGGAGATAAGAGCAGGCTCGCCATGCACACGATGACGGGTAGCAGTAATGACGCGGGCACACACGTGCCCTTAGGCTCCCGGGATCCAGCGAGGCCACAGCCAAGGTCTCCCACACTCCACCAGAGCCCAGCCTGGAGGGGGCAGCCCCTCGGGAGTTCCTCGGGCTCACCTGCTGCACCTGCCCACGGGCCCGGGCCCTGGTGGGAAGCCCATGCGTGGTGGACAGGAAGGGACAGCCAGGAGCTGCCCGGAGCTCACACCACACTGCTCCTGGCCCTGGGGGGGTGGTGGGGGGGCGGCCTGCAGGTCCCACTGAAGCAACTCCGCCGATGCCCCCTCGCCCCGCTGTCCCTCCTGATGGGGCCGTGGCCGACCTTGGGCAGAGTGACCAGCAGGTGCAGGCTCATTTCTACCTGGGGCCCCTGTCCCTTTGCCCACCCTCAGTCCCCTGAGGGTTGTTAGGCAGCCTGGGGTTTGGCCACCATTGGGTCTTAGATGATAGGCAGGGACAGGGCCGTGGAGCCCCGCCCCCAGCACAGATGGTCACTTGCCTGCCGCCTTGCAGAATGTGGGTCTTTCTTTCCGGCTCTGTGTGTCTTTGCTCTAAGTACAGCATGACTTTGGGCATGTCCCCCAGGCCCTACCTGTGCAGCGAGGCCGTGGAGCAGCCATCCTGGGGCACGGTCTCTTCTGCACCTGAGGAGCACCTGCCGTGTCCACCCACCCAATCAAGAGGTGCACGAGGGCCAAAAAGTGCACAGAAATGCTCGCTTTGGAAAAGTACGCAGAGATGTTGATTTTTTTTAATGTTTATTTTATTGGCTGGCACGGTGGCTCACTAGGCTAATCCTCCGCCTAGCGGTGGCAGCACACCGGGTTCTAGTCCCGGTTGGGGCGCCGGATTCTGTCCCGGTTGCCCCTCTTCCAGGCCAGCTCTCTGCTGTGGCCCGGGAGTGCAGTGGAGGATGGCCCAAGTGCTTGGGCCCTGCACCCCACGGGAGACCAGGAGAAGCACCTGGCTCCTGCCATCGGATCAGCGCAGCCATTGGAGGGTGAACCAACAGCAAAGGAAGACCTTTCTCTCTGTCTCTCTCTCACTGTCCACTCTGCCTCTCAAAAAAAAAAAAAAAAAGATTTATTTTATTGGGTTCAGCACTGTCGCACAGTAGGTTAAGCATCCGCCTGTGGTGCTGGCCGGGCCGCTCCACTTCCCAGCCAGCTCCCTGCTGTGGCCTGGGAACGCAGCAGAAGATGGCCCAGGTCCCACCCACATGGAAGACCTGGAAAAAGCTCCTGGCTCCCGGCTTCGGGTTGGCCCAGCTCCTGCCCTTGTAGTCATTTGGGGACTGAGCCAGCAGACAGAAGACCTTGATCTCTTGCCTCTCCCTCTCTCCGTCACTCTGCCTCACTGGGAGGAACAGAGTGGGATAGGAGGGAAGAGCTGCACTCTGACCCTGGTCTGCTTGTGGGGAGAGGGCTGGGGTGGGGCTGTGAGCTCCTCAGAGCACCCCAGAGTGAGGCTGGGGGCACGGCCATCGGGCCATGGAGGGTCTGTGGATGGGCTGTGCGGAAGCACAGTGAAGTTCCTTCCACCGGGAAGCCCTCCTTGACTGCCACTGAGGTCGCTGAGTTCCCCTCCAGTTTGTGGAGGCGTCCAGCCTCTGGTTGAGGCCCCAAGTTCAGGACTTCTGCAGAAATTCTCTGGCAGTCGGGAAAGTCCAAGAGAAGACTGTGATGGGAGCTGGTGACAACATTCTTAGTGCCAGGCGGCACCTGCAGGTGACATGCTGAAGGGGGCGGGGCCCGCCCAGAGGGCAAGTTGAGTCGGGAGCATTGGCCGGGGGAGCAGCTGGGGACGCGGGCTGCAAGGGGCTCCCCGGGCCCCCCACTTCTGCCTCTTTCCTAGCCCCAGTCCCAGCCCCTGCTTGGGGAGTCAGAGACCCTCTCCCTGGAGGCGCGCGCCCCACCATGCAGCTGGTGTTGGGACAGTGCAGCCCAGAGAGGGGCTTGGGAAGGCAGGGACACGCAGCACCAACGGCACTGCAGGAGGCCACAGAGAGCACTAGGAGAGGGCCCTCAGCCTCGCCTGTGTGTGCCGGGGCGAGCCCAGGCGTCTCGGCCGGGCACCCTGGAGCCCAGCGGGTCCCGACTGTGTGTGCAGGCTCACGCGGCTGCCGCTGGCGCCTCCTCCCCCACCCTGCCGCACGCACGGCCACGCAAGGCTCTCGTGTGGCAGGATCCACGCCCTTACACAAACACCCGGTTTGGCTTCCCATAGAGTTGGCGCTGGGGACGTTTTCCTGTCCTGCCCTCGGCTTCTCCCTGAGACACACAGAGACACGGACCCGGACAGGCAAGGCCGTCACAGCCACTGGAACACACACAGACACACATACACGGCTGTCACACCCACGGAGACACACACCATTCTCACACTCACACACAACCAGACATGGCTGTCACACCCACGGAGACACACACCATTCTCACACTCACACACAACCAGACATGGCTGTCACACCCACAGGAACACACACACACCATTCTCACACTCACACACAGACACGGCTGTCACACCCACAGGAACACACAGACACACACGCCATTCTCACACTCACACACAGACACGGCTGTCACACCCACAGGAACACACAGACACACACACGCCATTCTCACACTCACACAACCTCACACACACAGGAACACACAGAAAGACCCAAACACACACACACACGCACCCACCACCCTCACACTTACAACAAATTCACACACACCCGGGCAGACATGGGCTGTCACACTCACACACATAAACACCACTCTCACACGCATACACACACAACCCATTCTCACAGAGTCGCACACACACCGACACGGAATGTCACACGCACACTCACACACGGACACACACACATGCCCTTTGTGGAGCTGGACCCGAACGAGCCCCCACCTCCCCGAGGTTCCGCCCCACCCCCGCAGGATCCGCCCCCCCCCAGGCCTCCTGGGCTCCGGGACCCCGTCCAGACAGTGCTGTGTCTTTAAGGAAGTCGAAGCTGCTAAAAGTGGGAGGGAGGGCCGGGGGAGGGAGGCCGAGAAAAACACAACCCCCAAATCTGGCGTCTCTTCCGTCCGTCCACTCCGGTGTCACCGGGGCCCTGGCTGCCGAGGCTGGAAGGAGGCACGGTGTGGGCCGCCTGGAGTGGGGGGCAGCCTGTGGCGCTGGGCGGGCTGAGTGACGGTGGAGCGGGGTCAGGGGTCAGACACCCTTCCCGCCCTGTCCAGTCCTCCCGTGGACGCCCTAGGCCATCCGGAGCCTGGGGTCAACTGCGTCTTTTGCTGTCGGTTGGTTCCATCTTGGAGGAGGGTGAGCCCGGCCGCCGGGGGACCAGGCGCGTGAAGGTGAGGGGGGAACAGTGGACCTCCGTGGGACCCAGGGGCGTGGGAGGCCACCTCGCTGGGTGCCGGGCAGGGGTGTCTGCTACTTCTCCACGCCAGGCCCTGGAAAACCCGGCAGCCAGCCCAGCCCACGTCGGCAGAGGGGTCCTAGAGGGGCGTTCATTTAGGCAGCTGCCCCATGCTTTTGGAACGCAAGGGGCCTGGGTGTGATGGCTGGGGTCATGGCTGGAGGGGGCAGGTGGGACGAGGGGGGGCGGAGTGCCCCGTACAAGGGGCCTTGTTGGGGCTGGGGCAGGGCGAGCCCGCCGGGCTGGGGAGAGGAGGGACCGCGGCCAGGATGTGGGAGGGCTGCAAAACAGATTTAAAGTCAGCCAGAGGAGGAGGAGGAGGAGGAGAAGGAGGAGGAGGAGGAGGAGGGGGAGGAGCCTGGGACCTCTCCATCTTGTCTTCGCACTGCCTTGGCCGCGGGACCTGAGCAAGTCCGGGCCCTTCCCTGTGCCTCAGTTTCCCGTTTCTGCAGCACGGGGGGTGTCGGGCTTCAGCAGGGTGAAGCGGGGCCTCCGACGGGACGGGCTGGCGTGGGGTGGGGCCGGAGGCCTCCCGGGTGACCGCGGGGTCTCCGCAGCAGGTAGGATGCCGGAACTGCGTCTGCTCTGCTGGGCGGCTCTCCTGGGCATGGCGCGGGCCTGCCCCGAGCCCTGTGACTGCGGCGAGAAGTACGGCTTCCAGATCGCTGACTGCGCCTACCGGGACCTGGAGGCCGTGCCGCACGGCTTCCCAGCCAACGTGACCACCCTGAGCCTGTCAGCCAACCGGCTGCCGAGCCTGCCAGAGGGCGCCTTCCGGGAGGTGCCCCTGCTGCAGTCACTGTGGCTGGCGCACAACGAGATCCGCAGGGTGGCCGCCGGCGCCCTGGCCTCCCTGGGCCAGCTCAAGAGCCTGGACCTCAGCCACAACCTCCTGTCCGACTTTGCCTGGAGCGACCTGCACGCGCTCGGGGCCCTGCAGCTGCTCAAGTTGGACAGCAACGAGCTGACCGCCATCCCCCGCGACGCCTTCCACAGCCTCCGCGCCCTGCGCTCGCTGCAGCTCAACCACAACCGGCTGCACACGCTGGCCGAGGGCACCTTCGCCCCCCTCACCGCGCTGTCCCACCTGCAGATCAACGACAACCCCTTCGACTGCACCTGCGGCATCGTGTGGCTCAAGGCGTGGGCCCTGGCCACGGCCGTGTCCATCCCGGAACAGGACAATGTCGCCTGCTCCTCGCCCCACGTGCTCAAGGGCACGCCACTTAGCCGCCTGCCGCCACTGCCTTGCTCGGCACCCTCGGCGCAGCTCAGCTACCAGCCGAGCCAGGACGGCACAGAGCTGCGGCCCGGCTTCGTGCTGGCGCTCCACTGTGACACGGACGGGCAGCCGGCCCCCCAGCTGCACTGGCACATTCAGACATCTGGAGGTACCATGGAGATCGCCAGTCCCAACGTGGGCCCGGATGGGCGCGCTCTGGCTGCCAGTGGCCAGCCCCGCTTCCGGGCCTTTGCCAACGGCAGCCTGCTCATCCCCGGCTTCGGCAAGCCGGACGAGGGCACCTATAGCTGCCTGGCCACCAACGAGCTGGGCAGCGCCCAGAGCTCCGTGAACGTGGCCCTGGCCGCACCGGGGGAGGGAGGCGAGGACGCACTGGGGCGCAGGTTCCACAGCAAGGCCGCCGAGAGCAGGGGCTGCTACACCGTGGACAACGAGGTGCAGCCGTCGGGGCCCGAGGACAGCGTGGTCATCATCTACCTCAGCCGCCCCGGCAGCCCCGAGGCTGCCGTGGTAGGGGAAGCCGTCCCTGGGCCACGGCCCCCAGGCCTGCTGCTGCTGGGCCAGAGCCCCCTCCTCCTGCTCCTCCTCCTCCTCTTCCTCGCTGCCTTCTAGCCCCTCACCAGCACCCCTGGGGTTGGGGGTGCCTTCATATCCTCCTACCTCCCTGTCCAGCATCTTGTGGCCCCCTGCTGCCACCCCCACCCCGTTTCTAGACCTGCACAGGACAGACTTGGACCCCAGAACTCAGTGACTGTGGGGCCACTGCTGCAGGCGGTGTCGTTGGGGGGTTGCCCTGCCCCTCCCCACCCCCACCTGGGCCTGGGTGCCAGAACTGCAGGAGCCTTGGCTGAGCAGCCGGTGGGGAGGCAGCCGCAAGTAGACGGCAGGGGCAAGGGCAGGACAGAATGTGGGGACGGTGAGGCGGCGCTGGGGCCCCCGTGACCCGCGCCGGCTCCTCTGACAACTCAGGCTGGGGGCTCCTTCTGTCCCTGCCTCCGACAGGACCTGAGGGTCCCAAGCACCTCTCCCTCCTCTGCTCTCGCTCCTCCTCCCTCAGCTGCACCCCCCCCCCCCAGTCCTGGAACACCTGCCTCTCCAAGCGCACACCTGTAGCCTGCTCCTGGGAAGCCGGCTGGCCGGGGGGGCTGCAGAGCAATAAACAGCATGGCCGATGCTCCCTCGCGTCTGCCTGGAGCTGTGTCTGCTGCTAGGAGCCACTGGCAGGACTGGCACGCGGGGCGGCAGGGGCGGCACGGCCAGCCCGCCTGCCTACTCGGGCCCACGCAGCCCCCGCCGGGAGCTTCCTGACGCCAGCCGCAGAGGCTCACCGGCGCTGGTGACCCAAGCAGGGCTTTCAGCCAGCTGCGGCTCGGCCTCAGGCATTTGGGAAATGGGGAGGGGTGGGGGGAGCAGAGGGGCCTGGGCTGCAGCATCTCTGGCCCCGCCCAGTCCTGGGGGAGGTGTTAGGAATGAACAGGAGGTGAGAGCCAAGGCGAGGAGGAGATGGGGCCCTCGGAACAGGGAGAGGGGAGAGCCGGAGGACGCCTGGAGAGGCCAGGAGGGAAAGCCGCTCCCGCAGGAAGGTGCCGGGGGTGGGGGTCTCCCAGGACGGGGAGCTCCCGCGTGGGGTCAGAGCCCCCGACTGAGCTGGGTGACAGCTCCTTCCTCCCTCCCAGTTGCAACACTGAGGGACCATGGCAGAGGCGCCACCCCCTGCCTGGAGCCCCCAGGACTGCTGAGCTCAGCAGAGTGGAGGCTGGAGGACCGTGGGGCCTGGCCAGCCGCCAGCCCCTGCCCCGCCTTCTGGCGCACACACAGCGCCTCCACCTCCGCCTCCGCCTCCCCGGCCCCGGCAGCTCCTGGAAGACTCCAGTCTGCAAGGGGCAGCAAGGCCCTGCACTGAGCCGCCTTGGGTGAGGCTCCAAGGCCTGACCACTGTTCTAACTGGACTTGGACTGTCTCCGGCCCCGGTCCCAGGGAGTGGGCGTGGCTTCCGGGAGAAGGGCCGCAGCTGTGCCGCTCTGATGTCTCTGCTGCCCTGGCCTGTGGCTCACAGGCCCCTCTGGGGCTGCCCACCCCTCCCTGACCCTTCTTGGAGCCACTCATCTCCAGCACCAGCCTCTGCACCTTCACGGCTGCTGTCAGCCGTGTGCCCCACCCCTCCCGTGGAGTAGGCCCAGGGCTCTGACTCACCAGCCCCGCCCGCCCGCTGCTTCCTGGGCTTCTCCCTGTGGCCACAGACTGGGACATTCTGTAACTGGCTGCAGTGGGGCCAGAGCCTGGGAGGTGGGGGCAGCCTCCAGCTCGCTGGCCCAGGGCGGCCACGGTGTAGGTGAGAGCCTGGGTATGGGTGTGGGGCGCCCATCTCTCCTGGAGCCATATTGGTCGGGTGGCCGCGGTCCCCCAGCCTCTGCAAGTCCCAGCCCCAGGGTGGGGGCCACACCGCAAGCCGCTCCCTCACTCACACATCCAGTGGTGGGGTTTAAGAGACGCCCCGATCTGCACCCCCAAGCTGCCTTTGGGTCAGCCCCCAGCACCCAGGGGTGGGGGACGCCCCTTCCTGCTCCCCAGCTCCTGCCTGGTGCCCTCCCCCACAAGGAGGCTTGTTCCTCGGTTCGAGTTTATTGCAGGGAACACAGTGGCCTCGTTCAGGGCAGCGAAACTGCAAACACACCTGCTGCCCAGGGGCCTGGCCTGGCTCCCTGCTTGCGGGCCAGAGGGGAGGGCAGCTGGGTGCGGAGGGAACATGCGGCTGGCCCACGGCGGGGCTGCACCGAAAGGCCGGTCAGGAGAAGGCTTTGGTGAGGCCTGTAGGCTGGCGGCCGAGCCAGGGTGGGGAAGAGGCCCGGGAGTGGCTGGCTGCTGGCTCCTGGACCAAGCGCCTAACGGGTCAGAGTCCTGGCTGGCCCCCAAGGCCATGGGCAGGCCAAGCTCTCCCCAGGCTCTCAGCACAGATGGCCCCTCCCTACCCAAGCAGCCTTGGGGGGGGGGCAGGTCCTGCTGGCGGGGCTGTGCTGAGCTGAGGGTGGGGGAGCAGGATGTGTGGGAGGGAGAGCGGTGGGCCGTGCCCGCCCTCAGGGCTGCGTGCCATTGGCCCAGGCGGCCGACAGGGCCCCCTTGCGGAAGGCCTGCAGGCCGGGGTTGCGCAGCAGCGTGTAGGCCAGGCCCCAGCGGGCCCTGCAGCGGCCGGCCCTGGGCCCTGCTCCCCTGGCCGCCGCCTCCTTTGTCTGTAGCAGCTGCAACCCTGGGAGGAACAGACCTTCTGTGAGTCACTCAACAAACACCCGGCTCAGCCCGCACAGCCCCCAGACCTGAGTAGGGGGCCCTGGACTCCCGGGCAGAGTGACAGGCTGAGGCTGGGGTCCCAGGGCCAGGGAGAAGCTTGGGGCTGCAGAGGCTGCTGTGGGGGTTGGGGTGGGAGTGTCGTTGGCAGGTGGGAGTGGGGCATTGTCCTGGGCAGTGATGGGCGGGATACCTGTGGGCGGGGTGGGGGTTCCGGTAACAAGACCCTGAGACTGGATGGGGGGGGGCACCACAGGCAGCCACGGGACAGGGAATGGGGCTTCCTGGCCCGTACTCTACACGCGGGGAGGGAGAGGCCCTGACCCCTGCTGTTCCCAGGGCGAGGGTGCACCTTCCTCCTCCTCCTCCTCCCTGGGTCTGAGGCTGTCCTGGGGGGCGGCAGGAGCCCACGTCGGCCGGGGATGGCGCCCCTGTGCCCGCAGCAGTAGACTGCAGAAGGCGGACACGGCCGGATGTGACTGGCTGGCCTCCAGCTCCAGAAAGTTCCGGTAAATGTGGTAGCCTGGGGGGCGGGGGGCGTGGCATTGCTGGGGGAGTGGCTGCTGCAGACACACCCACTCCCCCTCCCCCCCCCACTCAAACCCGGACATCCCCCAGGCACAGGCCACAGGGCGCCTGCCCCACGTGCCACATACCACAGGGCCACGGCCTGTGGCCCAGCCAGGCATGCAGGGGCGCTACCTGGGTCGAGAGTGGCCACTCTGGGCGGCAGCAGGCTGAGGTCCATCTGGCCCAGGTGGACGGCGTTGTAGAGGGCGGACAGCAGCACGCGCCAGGCGGCCCCCAGCGCGCCCAGCAGCCAGTTGACGGGGAGGAGGAGGAAGGTGGCCGCGTACAGCGCTCGCCTGGAGGGGGCGGGGCGGGGCGGGGAGAAGGCTGAGGCCTGTCCTGTGGGTGCCAGACCCTGTGCATTCATTGGGCACCTGCTGTTTACTGATTGGGAGACAGGCAGTTTCACGACCTTCTATAGGAGGGAAACTTTCAGGTCCAAGAGGCTAGGCGGCTCCGAGGAGAGCTGGGGGGGCTGTCCACCTCCCCACTGTGGGTCCCCCGGCTCCAAGCCCCTCCTGCCATCCGCCAGGGCGAGACACGGGGACTGCAGGACTGGAGGATTCGCGAGAGAGCCGCCCCCAGGGATGCAGGGCCCCTGACAGGTGTCCAGGAGCGGCTGGGCCACCGCCCCTTTGCCCTGTGGGTAAGGAAGCCCTCTCCACTCCCTGGTGAGCCCTGATGGAGACAGGGGAGAGAGGGCGGTAGAGGGAGAGCAGTGCAGAACGAGAGGCCGGGGCCCAAGGGAGCCCCTAGCCCCATGCTGTCTCACCGGTTGGTCAGCTCTGGGTGTCCGTGGCGAGTGTCCAGGAAGGCCCAGCGGGCTGCCACATTCTGCAGGATCAGCGCCAGGGCCAGAGTCAGCCAGAAGTGCCTGTGGGTGGGACGGGGAGGGCGGTGGCTTGCGGAGGTGCTGGCTTGGGGAAGCAGCCCCGGAGCGGCCTGCCCGGGCTGGCGGCCGCAGCCCCGCTCACCAGGAAGACTGGAGGGCCCGCAGCAGCAGGCGGTTGCTGGAGTGCACTGCGGGGAGGAACAGCAGGAAGGCCAGGGCCGCCGCCCCCAGGAAGAAGATGAGCTGCTGCACCAGGAGCCCTGTGGGCGGGGCCTGTGAGTCCTCTGCCCCCCCCCCCTGCAGCTGCCACACCGGCCCCAGCCTCTCACCGAAGTGCCCGGGGGGAGGGGCAGCAACTCGGGGCTGGGAGAGACCTGGAAGTCCTCTGGGCTCCACTCTCCCAGGCAGGGGCCCCCTTTGCAGCCCCCCCAAAAGTCACAGGCTCTCTCCTTGCCTGCCCCCAGCACCAGGAGTCTCATTCACTTCCGGGGCGGCGTGGTGGGTGAGGGGCTCACCGAGGCAGGTGAAAGCCATCTGGTGGGCGCTGAAGCTCATCCAGCAGAATATGGCTCGGCGGGAAGGCTGGGGTCTCTGGGGCGGGGGGCCCAGCTCTGGGGCAGCCCCTCGGTACAGAGCCCGTAGGTTGGCCCTGCGGAGAAGCCACACGCGTAAACACCCACGCGGCCGAAATCACACCCACGGCCATCGGCAAGGAAGTTCAGGGCTGCGGGAGCCCAGGAGGCCACGAGCCCAAGTGGGAAGGCAGGGAGGGCTCCCTGGAAGAAGGGGTTAGCTGAGTAGACTCCTCCGGGGTGCAGGAAGGAGACAGAACCCGCAGACGGCTTGCTCTAAGCTGAGGAGCGGAGACAGCTCAAGCAGGGGCCTTGAGGGCTGTGCAGGCGAGAGGCCCGGGCAGGAACCCTGACCCCGACCAAGCCAAGACCGCCCCACTCTGGCCCTCTCCCTGGCCTGCACAAGCCCTCCCTGAAGCTTCCCCCCAACCAGCCGGGGTCAGGGGTCCCATAGGCCCAGGGGCCTCTGAGCCCTCCCCGACACTAACCTGTGTGCCACCAGTGAGCGGACCAGGACCAGGCAGGTGAGCGAGCAGGATAAGGCCAAGGCCAAGATGTAGCAAACTGGAGGCAGAGGCGGGGTCAGGTCCCGGCGGCCCCCCTCCCAGACTCTCAGACCCAGTGCAAGTGGACGGACAGCCTCAGCCGCCCTATCCCACCTGGCGACCACAGGGCCTTGGCCAGGGCGAAGGTCTGGCTTGAGTCGGCAGAGCCAGCCTCGTCCTGGTCTTGCTGGACCACAGATGCATGGCTGAGACTCCGTCCGAGCTGCCACCACTGCTCGGGCCGTGGGGCCCTCAGGGGGTACCCCGCCTCCCCCCAGCCTCGCTCTGCCCAGCGCCCAGGAGAGCAGGAGCTCTGAAGCCCCAGCCATGCTGCGTCCGTGACCTTGCATGGGACATACATGTCGGGTGCATGCAGAATGCGGGCGAGGACCCTGCTCCCCCTCCTCTGGGGTCTGCTCCTTCTCCCCAGCTCCCTCACCCCCTCCGTGCTCACGGACGGTGAGGCCACAGCCGCGGGGAGAGAGCGTGGTGTGTCGTGGACGCACTTGGGTCCCCCAGGACCGACAGCCACGCCGCTGCCACCTGCCACCTGCGTCTACACCAGCCTCGCTCTGGGCCCACAGAGGTAGGAGAGACCCCAGAATAACAGTAATAATAATCAAAATAAGCCTGGGCGCTGGCACCCTGGTCTCCTCGGCCGGCCCTGGGGGAGAATCCAGAGTGCTGTGTCCCCACGGAACCCAGGAGGTGAGAGCCAGCACGGCACCAGCCCAGAGTCCCCAGCGCCAGGCTGCTCCTGGGCCAGCACAATCCGCCTCTCTCAGGGCTGTGGTCAGGCCTGCAACCAGCCAGCTCCCACCGAGCGCCCCCTACCGCGCGTCTCTCGCTCTGCTCGCTTCGGGGTGCCAGGGTCCCTCCCAGATGCTGAGCCCCCCGCGGAGTTGCTGAGTGGAGGGGGGTTCCAGCACTGGGGATTCTACCGTGACCAGGTGTGCTGAGGACGCCCGTCCCACCTTCCCCGCTGCTGGTCCAGGGCCCTCTTGGACACCTTTCTGCAGGGTGAGGCTGTGCTGCCCCTTTCGGAGCCGGGGAGCAAGGCGCCTGCCCCCTGAGCCCGGCCAGGTGCCTGGCAGAGCTCACCAGGGTGAAGGTGTGCAAGCCCCGCCCACAGGCCTGGCCTTGGATCTCCTCGTGTGCCTCCTGCCTCTCCCTCCACCCGTTCTGAACGAGGTTCCTTCCAAAGCCCAGCTGCAGCGAAACCTTCTGCTCTTGGCCGCCTGCAGGACCTGCACCTGCCCGCTCTGGGCACCGCTGGGTGGACAGCTCTGTCTTCTAGGATAAGGTCGCCTTTTGAGTGTCAGCACCCATTTTGCAGGTAGGGAAACTGAGGCCAGGAGGCAGAAGTAGCTTGCCCAAGGTCGCGCAGCTGTTGGTGGCCGAGTGTGGCTTCTAACAGCAGCCTGCCTGCCCTTGGCCTTGGCAGTAAACGCTGCTCTGATCAGCCCCCGCGTCCAAGAGGGTCCACGGTGGGAGCCCCAGGAATTGGCGAGTGCCACCTGCCAGGGAAGGCGTGGCCCGGGCTGAGTCTCACTTCCTGCCTCGGAGCCTCCGTTTCCTGCTCCTGTGAGAGCTGGGGTCCGCCTCTGTCCTAACAGGACCTCTTACAAGCGCGGGGCTCAGCGTGGGCGTGGGCCGAGCCGGGCCTGTGAGCGAGCCAGGGGGCAGCCAGCCTGGGACGCGTCCCTAGAGGAGCCCACCTGTCACCTGTCCAGCTCGGGGCCTCGGCAGCAGAGGCCGGCAGTGTCGGCAGGGAGGAAGCAGCCACTGCACATCCCCCGCCCACTGCCGCCCCGTCCCTGCTCCGTGTTGGGGGACCGGGCGGGGGGCTTACCTTCCACAGCCCAGAGATGGTGCTTCACCAACTCCATGATCTCCTGCCTGTCCCCAGACAGCGCGATCCCAAAGCCGGCCAGCAGGTAGGCCACGTCCGTGGTGACGCCCGCCCTCACCTTCTGCATGGTGGGGACCACAGCCACCAGCAGCAGCAGGGCCACCTGCAGGAGCCCGTGGTGAGGAGCAGGGCCTGGGGCGCTCACACAGGCACCCCAGAGGCGCTCTCTGTGCCAACAGCGGACACGTCGGGTCAGAAACCCCTGCAGCACGCAGGCCACAGCCGCAGGACCCTAGAGCAGGTCTGCCTGCCTACGAAGGGCGTGCAAACCGCGGCACAGGCTGCACTGACAGCTGTCTGTCTGCACTTCCGTCTGTCCATCTGTCGTCCAGTCTCAGCTTCAGGAGGGCAGACGAACATTGGGCACCAGAGCCGGACAGGCCTGGGTCCACACTGGGCTATCAGCTGTGGGAGCTTCCTAGTCGGATCCCCCCGCCAACTGAGCCTCAACTTTCCCCCTTTGTACACCGGGGAGCGGGGGTGGGGGCCAGACCCGCGCCCCAGGACTTTTACTGTCTGCTGCCTTGCTGGGGTGGTGCTGGGGTGCCGGGGGCGGGCTGCCAGCACGCTATCTCACTGGCTCCCCCCACTACCTGCAGAGGGAGGCAATTCCACCTCCTCTAGGAAGGGTGAACGCCCAGGTCACAAGGAGGCAAATCAGGGAGCTGGGATTTCAATTCGTGGCCGGGGCAGGAGCTGGGTGCCGTGGGTGGAGCTCACATCCCATATGATTGGGAGTACCTGGGACCGAGCGCCTGCTCCACTTCCAGTCCAGCTTCCTGCTAATGCACCGGGGGCGGGGGGGGCAGGGGTGGCTCAAGTCCTCAGGCCCCTGCCACCCACATGGGAGACCCGGATGGAGCTCCCAGCTTCTGGCTTCGACCTGGCCCAGCCCCAGCTATTGCAAGCATTTGGGGAGTGAGCCAGTAGATGGAAGATCTGTGTGTGTGTGTGTGTGTGTGTGTGTGTCACTCTCCTCCTGGGCGGGCCAGGGGCAGGTGCGCAAGGTTGTGGGAGGGGCATGCGGAGAGCTGGGATGGGGGTCGGGGCAGGGCCCGAGGCAGGTGGGCAGCAGGGCGCAGGACGTACCTGGTAAACAGCTGTCCCCGTCAGGGTGGCTGAAAGCACCATCGTCAGAGGCAGGCGGAACCCTGCAGTTCCCGGGACAAGGGAGGGGTGGGCGGCGCTGCCTGGGGCCCGGGACCCCGTCTCAACCCCAGAGGAGGGGACAGGGCTCACAGGCCAGGGTCCCGCCCTTGTCTCCAACTGGCGGCTGCCCTGTGCCGGGCCAGGAGAGGCCACCTGTCCCTCGCAGCCTCTGCCGGGCGCGTACCTGGCTGGGGAGTGTAGATGTAGCGTCTGGTGCCGAGGCAAGCCCGTGACAGCAGGCCGTGCTTGGAGGTGCTGCGGAGAGACCGGCAGGGAAGGCCCTCAGGGCAGCCCCTGCCTCGTCTCTGCCCCCTGTGGGGCCCAGAGCCACCCTCCCAGGCACACCTGCGGCCCAGCCCTGTCTGCCAGCCCCCAGGGAGGGCCTGGGACCTCACCCGTGTCTCAGCTTCTTCCGGCACAGGAGGCTCCTCAGATACTCCTCGTGGGAGCCGCTCTGCCACCCCTGAGGACACAGCCGATGCTCTAGCAGATACAGGGCCTGGAGCCCTGCCCATGCCCTCCCGGCTCCCTGCGGCCCCTCAACGGCTGCTCCCTCAGCTTCCTCCAGTCGGAGCCTCTGCCGCTGGGAGGTTCTGGGGGGCAGTGGCTGCGGACTTGCCCGTCCCCAACGTGGGTGCTCACGGAGCTGCGGCCCGAGCCCAGGCCCGACCCAGGCTTTGTCTGGATGGGGAGCCATCATTCGGGGACTCAGCAAACATCCCCTGGGCACCTGCTGTGTGCCAGGCCTTGAACTTGGGACGGCAAAGCTGGGTGGCTGAGTGTCCTGGGAGCCCAGCCTGGGCCTGTACCTCGGAGCCTGCTCCTGGCTTGCGGCTGAAGCTTCGTGCCAGCTGCGCCGGGTACCAAAGGCTCAGGAATCCAAGGCCCAGCAGGAGGGGCAGGGAGGCCAGCAGGGAGTAGTACTTGTAGATCTACAGACGGACGGACGGACGCACAGACAGACTCACCGTCTGCCCTCTGCCCCCGGCCCCTAGCCCCTTCCTGCCTCCACCTGAGGCCTGCACAGTGTCCCCCTCCCAAGGTTCCTGGACTCCCCTCTGCCTCCCACCGGGAATGAGGCCACAGTGCAGACCCTGCATGGCCAGGAGAGCCAGGCTCAGGCCCTGGAAACAAGAGGCTGAAGGCGGCCCCCCTGGCGGTCTGCCCCGCCTCCCTGGGTCCCCTGGTCACTCGCTTATTTGTTAATCAAGAGCCTGGCAGGAACCAGGTTCTGAGTGGTGGAAGAGACCCAGTAATCCCCCCAAAAACCCTCTGAGTCTCTGCCTACCCTCCCCCACGCCCCGGGACTGGAGTTATCAACTCCACTTCCGGGGAGGTAACCAAGTCTCAGAGAGGTGACGTCATGCCCTCCAAGCACCCAGCAGCACTTGGCTTCCTCTCGCATACTAATTGACCCCCCCCCATTTCCGGAATGTCCTTAGGTGCCAGGGGCTCTGTGCGGCAGTGCCCACAGCTCACAGCAGCTGAGCAGCTGAACGAGGGAGGGAAGGAAGTGGGGAGGCTGGATTCAGACCAGGTTGTCCGGCTCTGCGGCCTGGACCACAGTTGGGGGTCCTTGCCTAGTGGCCCTGCAGCGGCCCCAGCAGCCGTGAGCCAGGCTGGAAGGTTCTGGAACTCTGTGTTAGCCCTGAGGCCGCCATCCCCTGCTCTTCACTACGGTGCCCACCCAACCCCATGCCCCTCCCTACACTTTTTGTCCCCTGCTGGCCCACAGGTAGGCGGAGCCTGGCCGGGCATGTGGGACCCCGAGCTTAAGGTAGGGTGGCAGGAATCCCAGTGCGTGCAGATACCAAAGGGACCCCGTGGGCTCAAGCAGGCCCCTCCACCCCAGGCCATCGCCATCAGTGGTTACCTTGGGTGTCTGGGGACACTCTGCCCTCTGCCAGACCTGGACCCCAAGGTGGGTCCAGGCCAGCACGCTGCCGAGCAGGTGCGCAGCTCTGTGCCCGGCCGGGGCACAGGCAGCCAGGGGGTAGTAGAGGGCAGGGTAGTAGAGCAAGGCCAGCATCCTCCAGGGCCCTGGAAGGCAGCAGAGGCAGAGAGAGGGAGACGCGTGACGCAGGGGTGGGCGCAGGGCTGGGCCGGGCATCCTCCAAAGCCCTCAGCTGGCCCGGGGCTCAAGTCCAGGCCGGGACAGGGACCAGCTCTGTGATGTGGGACAGGTTACCTCCTGGGGTCTCAGGTTCCCCATCTGTGAAGTAGAAACCGTGGTAGCAGGTTAGCAAGGGCAGAGTCGGGGTGGGGGGCTGTGATGAGGCCCCTGCTCTGTCACCGTCCCCTTCCCCTTCCCCGGAAATGGTGCTCACGAGCCCCAAGGAGGCCATGGCGCCTCCCGGGACAGCGGCTTGGCCTCCGGGCCTCCCTCCCACCCACAAGCCAGTCCCGCTGCTCCAGGCACCTGGACTTGGAGGCAAGGCCAGGGTCAGGAAGGGCAGCGGGTCCTCGCCGGGGAGCAGCAGGCACAGCGAGCTGAAGACGACCACGAGCGCGGCAGCCGGCACCGCCCAGGGGCCGTCCTTGGCCAACAGATCCACAGGGCTGGACAGAGGCAGGGGGGGGACAGGAGGGAGCCGTGCAGCCCCAGCGCCCCCCGCCGCCTCCAGGCCGCATTCCACAGCCTGGCCAGGCAGAGTCCGTCCTGCTGGCATTCATTCACTCATTCATTAATTCGCCCAAGCGCTCCTCAGCCCACAGCCTCCGGGCAGCGCCTCCTGCCTCCCACGCTCTGGGTCCCGGTAGCCGAGGGTCCCAAGAGGCACAGACAGCGGGAACAGGCCCCAGCACGGCCCCCTCCGCCCACCGCGGGAGCCCCAGGAAATGGCCGCCCCCACAAGGCCCCCGTCCGCGTGTCTGGGCTGGCAGAGATTCAGAGAGCTCAACCAGTCACGGTGTCCTTGCAAAACTCAGCCGCCGCGGGCTGGGCGTGGGCCTGGCTGAGGGCCGACGGCAGCCCCCGGCCACGTCCCGCTTGTCCGGGGCAGGCTGCGCGGTCCTGGCATCTGTGTCCCAGCTGGCCCTAGCGCCCCAGGCACTCCATCCGGCTTCCGTCTCCACCAAGGCACTGCCCAGGGCAGCGTCTGGTGCCCCCAGCTGCCAGGCTGCAGGGCCAGGAGGATGCTGGGAGAGTCCCAGCCCTGCGGCCGGAGGGCAGGGCCTGCTATCCTTGAAGTCCCAGAGAGGCCAGTGCACGCCCCCAGGGCTGCCCAGCAGGCTGCTGCTTCCTAGGGCCTGGGGTGGACTCCTGGCTCCCCACACCCCTCCCTCTGGGGTCCTGGCTAACCTTGGGGACCCTGGGGAGAGGGAAGGGAGGTCCCATGGGGGAGAACTGGCTTCTAGGAGCCCAACACGCCGGCCCCCGGCCCTGTCGGAGCTGGGGTGCCCAGGCCCCGGCACCCTACCTGGGCAGTCCAGGCCTGCCTCTCCAGCAGTGGGGCCAGAGCCGGGAGCGCCTCTGCAGCACGGCCAGCAGCAACAGTGCCAGGAGCTGGAAGGTTCGCACAGGGGGCTCAGCGGGGCTCGGGGGGCCCAGGCTCTCCCTGTGGGCCTGGGTCTGAGAGCTTGGCCCCCTGCCAGCCTCAGGAACCCCTACCCGCCCAGCGCACACTCAAGCGACATCGTGGGGACAGGAGGCTGGGAGGCTGGTTTGGCCCCGCCCCTACCCCCACTCCCTGAGACAGGCTGGACTCACCGACAACGAGGTCAGGCAGGCGTGCAGCAGGCCGGGCGACACGCTGGGGTGGCAGGCGGGCACTGCCCTGCGGAGCAAGCGCAGGCTGGCTCAGGCCTGGCCGGGGGTCTAGGGTCCGAGGCCCCACCCACCACCACCTTGAACCTCCTGCTCTGTCCTACACAGGGCTGCTTCGTCGCTGTCCTCGGGGCACACCCGCCCATCCCACACCACGCTCTGAAGATGGGAAACCCCCAGGGGAAGCAGAGGGGCCAGCGTGGCCCAACATCTGTTCTCCATCACTCACTGTTTCCTCCCCTACGGACCTCTCCAGCTCTCCTCCTCCAGGAAGGCTTCCTGACTGTTCCTGGCCTCACACAGGTTACACACTGCACAAGGATGCCCAGCCAAGGGAATGGGTGTGGAAATCCACACCACAGTGCTCACCGAAGCCTGAACCTACCGAGCTCAAGATAGCTAAATGGGGTCCAGGAAGAAAGGAAGACACCAAGGAAGATGGTCCAAGCCTCAGGTGGCAGAGAAGGGGGACTGGGCTGGAGCTGGACCTGGGAGGGCAGGCAGGCGGGACGGGGTCCCTGCACAGGGGGAGGCTTCTGGGCACCACTGCGGGCAGAGCTCAGAGCAGCCCGGTGCTGCAGCTGGGGCTCGCTGCTGGGGCTCAGCTCATCCACCTGGGCCCCCCTGGCCTGGGGAAGGAGGAACCAAGGCCTCCTCCTCCAGGGAGCACACAGCCCGGACCCCTCTTCTAGGACGGCCCCAGCCCCCAACCCCTTGGGAAAGGCAGGAAGTCACGTCCGGGGGGTAGAGAGGCAGGGAGCCTCTTATCTGCGCTGTTTCTCACCTGGGGTCTGGCGGGTGCCCTGTGTGAGCCTAGGCCTGGCGCTCCCTGTCCCCACCCAGGGTTTGGGCTCCTGTCCAGCCCACAGTCCTGCTCAGCCATGGTCCCAGCTCCCGGGGCGCAGCCAGGGCAGGCACCGGGCAGCCTTCCCTGTGGCCCCCACTCCAGACCAGAAGCTCTGCACCCCCCACTCCCACCAGGATGCCCTCCAGGAGCTGTGTCTTGGCACAGACACCCGGAGACGGGAGCTGACCCCAGGAGAGACAGCGAGGCAGGTGGGGGTTGGGGCATCTCTCAGGGAAGTTGGGGAACGGAAGCTCCGTGGGAGGGAAGAGCCCCAGGAGGCAGAGGCAGAGGCAGAGGTGGGAGGGTGGGTGCACCTCTGTGTGCAGCCCAGGGGACAGTGGAGGTCAGAGGGGTCCCTGGGGCTGGACTCGGCTGAAGTCACCAGGGTCCACCACGTGGACAATGCGGGGTGCTGAGGCTCTGAGGGGCGGGCCTCCGGGCTCTTCAAAGCCTTGATGCTCGCCCCCCCCCACCCCAGCCTCTGACTCACGCAGGCAGGGGTGAGCTCAAGTTCAACTCCTCGGGATTCCCCTGAACTCCCAGCTTCCTGCTCGCACCCCTGGGGCCAGGGCAGCTGAGCCACCGGTACCGAGAGCAGGGAGCGGCCCACCCCAGACCGCTACAGGAGTCAGCTGCCCATCGCCCTGTCCCCGACCTCTATCCTGAGGCCACAGAGCCCCAGCCAGGGCCAGCGCCCAGAGGCCCCCGTTAGGACCCAGCCACGGTCAGGTTCTTCGTCCTCGCGGGAGGTCCTGGCCCCTCCCCCCTCCCCTCAGCAGCCGTGCTCACAGGGAGCCCAGGGTCTGCCCAGGTCAGTGAGGGAGGCAAGCCAGGCAGGGCCAGGTGGACGGCACCTCAAGGCCTCCCACCACCTGCTTCCCCCAGGCTGGGTGGGGTCCGCGTCCCCGCTGGGTGACCCCAGCCCGGCCAGGCAGCAGCCCCCGCCTCCCAGGGAGCACGTGAGCCGTTTGCCTTCTCCGGTTGCAGATTTGATGGGGAACAGATGTGCACACATCTGGCTCAGGCACCTCCCCCCCAGCCTCACCTTTGCCATGCCTCAAACCCTCCGCCCCTGGAGCAGGGGCCAGCAACAACAAAGGAGAGGCGGAGCTCCGGGTCCCCCACAGAGGCGTCCTTGGCAGCAGGTGGTGGGGGGCTCTGAGAGGTTCCGCTCCTCCCTCAGGGCACCCAGACTGCACAGAGAGGCTGGGCTCTGGGCAAAGGTGGCAGCCGAGGCCTGGGGCAGCGGGGGAGGGGGGCCATGGCTGTCTCCCTCCACCTGCCCACCCCAGGCTGGCCTGGGCACTGCTGCCAAAGATAACAGGAACCATCCCCTCCCCCATCCTCCCAGGCCTTATCCTCCATTCTCAGCCCCCCCGCCCCACCACGCGCCCCCAGGACCATCCAGAGAACTCAGTGCTGAGACATGGCCCCGGAACGGTCACCCCAGGAGCACCTGGACCTGCTGGGCCACACTCTGCCAGGCTGGGGCCCGGGAATCTGTAATCTCACACCCGGCACAGGTGCTTTCGAGGCGAGCAGCCCGGCCCAGGTTGTGCCAACCTGGAGCATCTTGACAGCGAGACAAGCATGCGGGACGTGGTGATGAAAGCCCAGAGAGGCTGCACCTCCCCAGAGTCACAGAGCAAATGAACGCGAGCTCAGGGCCGGTCAGAGGAGCAGCCCCCACCAGGGTCTCCGCCCGCCTCCCCCCTACAAGGGGACCCCTCCACCTGGCCCCAGCCACGGCCACACTCACCCCTCCGGCTGGGATGCGCCAGGCCCCTGGGGCTCGTCAATGTACCAGCTGCCATAGGCGTCCTCCTCGGCCTGCCCGGACGGCGTCTGGTTCCCGGCCGCCTGGGTGGACATGGCCGGGCTAAAAATGCCACTGCAAATGGGAAAAGAGGTTTAAAAGGGAAAAAGGAAAAAAAAAAAGAAAGAAAGAAATCCAAACAAAGAAACATTTTCTTTTTAATCCTAAAGGTTACTTTCTTGCCTTCGGCTGTCTGGGAAAAGCCGGGAGCCCGGGCCGCCCGGGAGCCCAGCAGCCCGTCGCGGGTGGGGGAGGGCTTCTCCTGTCCTCTCCTGTCCCTTCCCGCCCGGCCTTGCCCGCCCGGCCTCGCCCGCCACCATGCAGGGACAGCGCACGCCCCTGGGGCCCTGGGGCCTTGCCGGAGCATCCATCTGTCTGTCTGTCCAAGCACCAGCAGGGCCATGTCTAAACCAGAGCTCCCCTCTCCTAAGCCTACCGGGCAGACTGACCCCCAGACCCAACAGGAGGGGCCCAGGGAGGCAGGCGCTGTGGAGATCAAAGGGTGGGCGGGCTGCAGTTCGGCTCCCAGCGGGACTCCCGGCCTCTCCTGCCCCCCAGGGTCCAGCCCGGGTCCCTCCTGCTTCCCTTGAGAGCCCCCCTCGCTCTGGCCAGCCACCTTCAAACCCTTTTGGGACTCAGGAATGTGAATACTCCACAACCCCCACAAAAGTACAGACCCCAGCCCCCCCCCCCGCCGGTGTGGCCTGAACCTTGGGGGTGTGGCCTGAGCCCAGGGGGTGTGGCCAGGAGCACCCCCTCCCACACCTGCCGCACACGTGGCCATACCTGCCCCGTGCTGTCTGTCCTGCTGCCTCGGCCCTGTTGGCTGGCGCCTCTGCAGTGCCCCACGGGGCTGTCAGCCCAGGAAGCTGGTGCCCTGGGGCTGCGGCAGAGGCGGGGAGGCGGGACCCCCCCATTCCGTCCCCACAGGCTTCCATGAAGGAGCAACACGTGCCTTCCTGGTGAGACCTTTCTGTTCCCTCAACTCGATTTCACAAGGAGATAGCCCACACCCACAGGCGGAACCCTCCTCCAAACGCAAACCAGACCTGCGCGCGCCAGGCGGGCGGGCGGGCGGGGAAGCCACGCCTGCCCTGGGCTCCTCCAGAGTTTGGGGCAAAGGTGAGGGGGCTGAGGGTCACGAGGGTCGCTCCCCATCCCACATCCCCCGCCCCTGAAGAACGGGGCCCCTGGGTGCTTCCCCCCGCTCCCTGCCCCAGCCGGGAGGGAGGGGCAGAGTCCCAGAGACGTCCTCAGGCCAGGTCCCTGAGGCTGCACGGGGAGGGGGCTGGGGTCGTGGCCCTCCCCAGCTAAGGAATGCGGTCCCCCAGTGGTTTGCTCAAAGATGTGAATTCAGTGAACACCTGTCAGGTGCCAGGTGCCAGGTGCGGGGTGCTGGGTCCTGGCAGGGGAGAGGCTCCAGGTGGGGGGCACAGAAAGCAGGCCAGGAGCCTGCGGGTGGTAGAGTGGGCCCGAGGAGCCAGGGGGCGGGGCGGGCAGAGCCAGAGCCAGGGAGGCTCAGGATCGGCCAGAACTCCTGGCCCCCTCCCTCCCCAAAAGGCTCCCTCTTGCAGGAAGAGGGTTCTGGGCCTCCCTTCCCAATCCCACAGCGACGGCGGTCCACCTGATCCCGGATCCGGGGGAGAATGCTGCCTCTCCAAGCCTCTCCTCCCGGCCGCCCACCCAAGCCTGGCCCTGGGCAAAGGGTCAATGGCAGACCCGTGGCCGGCATCCCTCGAGGGCCTGGCCGTCGTGCCTTGGGGTGCCCCAGCCGCCCTCTGCTCCAACTCTGGGTCCAGCCTGCCCTGCACGGCTCAGGGGCTCAGATCCTAGCTCAGGGGGCACCCTGCTTCCCTCTGGGGTCCAGCCCAGACAGGGAGCTCTCTCCCCGCACAAGGCAGAGAGGTTCATGGTCAGAGCTGTGTGTTACACCCAGCTCTGCCTTCCCCGGGCGAGTTTGTTCATCGTTCACTCAACTGACGCTCCTTGCAGGCTGACTCCGGGCCGGGCAGTGCTCCGTATGCGGCAACACGGTGGCAGCAGACCGGGGTTGGCTGTCCCGGGGGCGGCCAGGGAAGACTGCATGGAGGAGGTAACGGTCGGCTCCTACCTGAAGGGGGGCACCCAACTGAGCGCTGAGAAGCCCAGACTCCATCTGTCCCTCCCCAATCTCCCTGCATCAACCAGAGGACACCATCCCATCTCTGCAGGGACAGCCCAGTGTCCACGACGCTGCTCCCCTTTCACCCGGGACACGTGGGCCCCCCAGGGCAGAGGGCGGCCATGTCCAGGTGCCGGGGCAGGAGTGGGAGGGAGCGGGGGGTGGGGGGAAGGGGCAGGCTCTCCTGCCTGGGCCGGGCCGGGGCGGCTGTGTGGCCTTGGGTAAGTCCCTTCCCCGTCTGGGTCTGAGCTCGCCCTGCAGCTGCCACCACACCTGGCCTGGACCCTCTCCCACTGTGGATTCCCCCGCCCCCAGGGCCTCCACCCCCTGCCCTGGGTGACTTCGTGGCCAGGAATGCAGAGTTAGAGACAGGGAAGTGGAGGCTGCCCAGGTGTCCTGCCGCAGGCAGCGGAGGGCAGGCTGGGTCAAAGAGCCGGGGAGAAGAACAGGGCGGCCCCCTCGGTTCTTTCCTTTCTGGAGTATTTTTTTCTAAATAAATTGTTTTATTTATTTATTTGGAAGGCAGAAAGACAGAGAAAGGTCTCCCAGCTGCTCATTCACTCCCCAAATGCCCAGGGCTGGGCCCGGCTGGAGCCAGGAGCCAGCAACTCAGGGGACCCAAGGCCTGGAGCCTTCAACGCCCACTTCCCAGGAAGTGCCGCTAGCAGGAAGCCGGATCAGAAGCAGAGCCAGGACTCCAACCCAGACACTGCTGCATGCGACGTGGGCCTCCCGGGCAGCTCGATCCTTGCGCCAAACATCTGCCCACTGCCCTTTTCCAAGCCTGGCTGGCTTAGGGCGCCCAGACCCAGAAGAATCGAGGCCGGCTGGCCAGCCCCTGCCATCGGGAGAGGGCACCGTGGAGGCTCAGAGAGGAGGAGCAAGCCGGGGAGGCTTCCTGGAGGAGAGGGTCTGGACCAGGGCCTGGGGACCACAAAGGGTCAGGAGTGGTGGCACCGGTGAAGCTTGAGAGTCTTAGGAGAGCTGAGGAGGGAAGTCTGGGAGGCAAGGAGAGCACGAGTCAGGGGTCAAGGGTCAGGGCAGGCTGCCCCGCTGCTTGAGCCCAGGGGGCCCACGTGATGTGGCCAGTGCCAGTGTCCAAGGGGCGGCCCAGGCAGGCCGGACTCTTCAGCTGGACAGAGACGCACCGTGGCAGGGGTGGGCTAAAGATCTCTGGACTGGAGCGGAGGGAGGCCACTGCCTCGGGGCCTGGAGCCGGAGCAGCCCTGGCCCCGGGCAGGGGCTGGCTCAGGAAGGCCTGGGGTCAGGGCTTTCCTCCGCCCCTGCCCCATGCCCCGTGTTTGCGTTCGAGTTGATTAAACCCAAGGAATTTTCGCGTCCTGGATCAGAGGCCCACGTGCACCGCCTCCTGCCGTCTGTGGTTATCAAAATCCTCAGAGGGCCAAGTGCTGAGCCGGGAGGAGCGGGGGGAGCGGGGGAGGCCTGCAGCGTGGCCGGAATCCTAGGAGCACCCGCAGGGCTCCCCAGGGCTCCCCCGGCCCCCAGCAGCCTGTGCAGCCTTCCTGAAGACCCTGCACCCTCGGGGCTGAACCTGGGACTTGTTGGCGCCGGGTACGGGTTGCAGCCAGAAGCCCCCAGACCCTGCGGCTCTCCGCCTCCCACCCCAGACCCCAGCTTGGGCTCTGAGTCCATCCAGTGGCACCCCGGAAGCACAAACCTCAGCCAGACCTCATCCCCGAGCACAGCGGGGAGCGCGCCAGGTGGGTGGGGTGGGGAGGGGTGGCCACTGTCTGCCTGGGCAGCCCCTTACCCCCCCCCCAGCCGGCCCCCAGAATCCAGGGGCCTGCTCCCAAGGCGGGTCCTACCCAGGCAGGCAGCATGCTGGGGGTCTGCCCGTGAGCACACGGCACACACGGGAACAGAGGACGCCAGGCTCTGGCCCCAGCCTAGCGGGAACCCCAGGCAGAGGGGAGGGCTGCCCGGTTCATTCTGCACGCCAGGCCCCCCACCAACCACGTGGCCCCCTGTGAGGGGAGGGGCAGCACGGGTGAGGAGGGGGCGGTGGCGTGTTCCTCCCCGCTCAGAGCTCAGGTCCCCCACCTTACCACCCACCCCTTCCTTCCCTTCCCTCCCCTCCCTGCCTCCAAACCTTGCTTCACGCTGCCCCCCCCCCACCGTGCCCCCCACCCCAGTCCAACCTGGCCGTCCAGGAGTGGCTCCTGCCCTCTGGCTTCTGTATCCTCCTCCTCCTCCCCTTCCTCCTCCAGGCAGGCTGCTCCCCACTGCCGGGCCGACTCCTCACCTCCTCGCCTCCTCGGGCGGGCCGGCGGGCGGGGGGCGGGCGTGTGGTCTCAGCCGCTGGCCAGCTGGCCCTGCAGTGTCCCCAGCACCTGCTGCAGAAGGTGTGTGACCACTTCCTCCTGGAAAGCAGCCCCTCCCTGCCCAGTGCCGGCCCTGCCCCTCCTCCTACCACCCCCAGACCTCCCTCCTGGGTCCGTGGATCCCAGAAGCCCACCCTACCCCCACCTCGCAGCTCCAGCCCTGGGCTGGGGCCCCACACAGACAGCTGCTCTCCCGCCGTGAGGCCTCCCTTCCCCCAAAACCATTTGCCCGAAACTTGATCCCCTTGGCCCAGAGTCTCCTCCAGGAGAGGCCTGCACAGCAGGAAGGGGCTCAGGACCCCTACCTGCGGTCATTCCTCACTGTCACTCATTCCTGCAGCCCACTGAGCCCGCCCCACCACGGAGGGGATCCCCAGCCAGCGTGAGCCCACCCCGCCACGGAGGGGAGCCCCCAGCCAGTGTGAGGCCGCCCCGCCACGGAGGGGAGCCCCCAGCCAGCGTGAGGCCGCCCCCCCACGGGAGGGGAGCCCCCAGCCATCGTGAGGCCGCCCCCCCACGGGAGGGGAGCCCCCAGCCAGCGTGAACCCACCCCGCATGGAGGGGAGCCCCCAGCCAGCGTTTCGTAACCCATCAGCTCCCTGCTGCTGCTGGTGGAGCCCAGGACCCGGCCAGGGCAGGGGGGCATTGACCAAACTTCCATGGGGTTTTGGGGCCAGAATTCCGGGTGTGACCTGTTCTAGGAGCAGCAAAATAGGCCCCTCAGGGAGCTTTCTCTTCCAACCGCGGACAGGGACAGCAGCTGGGGTGTGGGCAGCGGCCCAAGCACATTTCTGCAACCCCCAAGGCGCTAGTGACAGCGGCCCTGAGCCCTGGTCCTTGACCCTGATCCCGGGGCCCTGGGTCCTGAGCCCTGGTCTCTGACTCTGATCCTAGGTCCCAGTTACAGGCCCCTGACCCTGATCCCTGATCCCTAAGTCGGAACCTGGGCCCTGAACCTGACCCTGGTCTCTGACTGACCCTTTGGTCCTGGTCCCTGGTCCCTGACCCTGTTCCTGGTCATCTGCGTGGAGGCTCCCCATGCCCCCTCAAGGGGAACCTGGCTGCCTTCGGGGAGGGACGGACCAAGATCAGAAGAGGGGGCCCAGAGCCCAGGGGACGGGAGCCGGGGAGGCAGCCTCTGCCCCCTGGGGAGAAAGGGCTATGGTCAGCGAGGGGCAGGGGTGTGACTGCCCCCCCCCGCCGCAACAGAGACCCAGAAGGGAGGGCACTGAGGCCAGGACGGCGGCCGGGCTGTGTCCCCCAGCAGGAGCCCAGGCCAGCCCTGGGTGGAGACAGGACCTTCGTCTCACTGTGGGGGCCACTCCATGGGGCTCCTACGTCCTCCGCAGAGCGCGTGGGAAGCCGCGCGTGGCGTTCAGATCATTCTGCACCAGAATGGACCCAGGTCTGAATCCCACTCCCCACGACTCCATTCTTCAAAGACCCCTTGTCCGCACAGAGGCGGTGCCCCGGCTGCGGGCAGTGGCAGGACGCGGTGTCCAGCCTGACACGCACCTGCAGCTCTGTCTGCAGAGAGGGTAAGGGGCCTCCCGGGCTGACTGGTGGAGACCCCGGCCACGCTGCAGGCTGCCAGGAGCCCACGAAGCCCTGACCGGTACAGCAATCATGACCCCAGTCCAAGCTGCCCTCGCCAGGTCCGTGTGTGTGCTTGTACATGCGTGTGGGTGTGTACATGTGTGAGTGTGCACACATAAAAAGTGGACCTGGCAGATGCCGCAGTGGTCACGCTGGGAGAGGGGGTGTGGCAAAATAATCGCTTGATGTACCTAGGAAGCTGCCTCACGGGTTTGTGCTAAGCAGGAGGCAAATCTAACAGTTGTTGGAGTAATTCCCAGGATGGGTTGTTAAAAATAAATGATGCTTTCTTTAACCCTTCCTCCTGCCTGCCAGCCAGCTGAAATGCAGTTGTGATTGCTGGATCTCAAGCAGCCCCTGTTGGGCTGTGAGGAAGTCAGGCAGGACAGACAGGACAGAGCAGTAGGCTAGCTGCAGGGAGGCAGCCCCGGAGGAGGCCAGGCGACAAGGCTGGAGTCTCAGAGCTTTGCTTTACTCGACACTATCGCATTGAAAGGCAGCGTGAACCCAGAGGGGCCCTGTGACTCAGGTCAGGGGCCCAGCTGGGGGAACACACTCCATGCTCTCCCTGGAAATCCTGCCTTGAACTTGGACTCTGTGGCATCTGGGCTTGGAGGCCCCCCTGGGGTTGGGGAGGTCCCCCGAGTTGGGCCCTGCCCATGGCAAGCCTGGGCCAGACCTCGCCAAACCACAGCCGATGACAGACGCCGCAGCGCCCCAGCCAGGCGGCTCCCTTCTCTGCCCGTCTGCTCGTCCTGCCTGTCCCTGACCCTCTCCAGTCACTCCCCCCTGGCGCCCTGGGTGCCTCTCCTTCTGCTCTCTCTGCCTCTCTCCTCTCCTAGCTCTGTGTCTCTTTCGTGGCTTGGCCATTTCCTGTCTCTCTTTCCCCACAATGGCCCCTGGCCTGCCTACGCCTCTCCACTTGGCCATGACTAGTCAGTGTTGCCCAGCCAGCCCCTGCCCTCTCCCCCACAACCCTGCACCTGCTCTGACTGTGCCCCGTGCTGCTGCAGTCCTGGCACTGACCTCAGACCCCGGAGTCCGCAGGGCCCAGAGCCGGCCGAGTCCCAGAGCCGTCGGGCACACACGGGCGAAGGTCAGGGCTGCCGACGCTGCCCGCTAGGCTGCCCTCACCCTCTACCTCCCTGGGAACTTCGGCCTCTCCAGGCAAGGCCGGCTCATGGGCCACCAGGGGCAGCTCAGCAAGCGGCTCTGGGGCGGCCCGAGGCTCTCCTGCCGG